TTGCATTTGGAATTCATGATTTGAATACAAATATGCAATACTGAAGATGCTTTCATATTTACATATACATAAACTATCACAGGTCTACACATGTTTTCAATGGTAGATCGAGAAATTTGGAAATTATGGGGGGAGTAGGTCAGAATTTTTCTTTGACAAGCCACAATTGCTATAGTGTGTAATGGAGTATTGCTTTACACGTTAAGTATACGTGATATGAACAGGACGAAAAAATGTCGACAAAATGATCCGTTACAATCACGCTGAAAGAAAGAGCATTTAATACACGAAAGGTTTTACACACCCATTACATTTTCAAACTACCCAGAAGGAACAAAAAATCTCAAAAATTCATTTTTATGGGACAACAATATGTGCAAAGAATGGAAGGCAAATAATGAATACCTTTAGAATAGGTTTTCAGAAAAAGCACTCTTTGTTGACTGGACATACCCACAGTGATCCCTCTGTATTTATCAAATTAATTATGCATGTATAATCAAAGTCTTAACAAGTCAGCTAAAATACGACCCATCGATGGGTCATATTGCTAACAAGGCACTCTACTGTCTCTCAAACTCACTTATAACTGTAGGCATCTCATGAAACATCTGGCGTATGAGAAAAGTTCCTCTCTCAAATTTAATCATTTCTAGTTAAATCTTATACTTGTTCTTACCTGATACTTACATTTATGAGGAACGTTCCTCTCTCAGATTTTAATCTGTTTATACCTTATTCATATTAAATCAAGAACGTTCCTCTCACAAATGGTTGTATTTCTGTTTATTACTATACCTCATGACGCTTGCGACCCGTGCATTTAAGGAACGTTCCTCTATCATATAATGGATATCTGTTGATACATTGCAAAGTCCACTTAAAAATAATTTTCGAGGAACGTTCCTCTCTTACAAAATCATGTTCCTTGTGATATCCTTTTATTATCAACTAATCAGTGAGTAGCACGCCTCGATTTAAAAATTGAATATACTAAAAGCGATCAAATCCCTGAGTATCAAATGAGTTGAGAAATGTAAATACTATATACAGGTGACTGTGAGAAATATCACTGCAGAACAATTTTCATGCAATTTATTTGTTGGTCCTTATTGTGTATAGCCAGTAAATATGAAACAGATATGGCAGGCTCTCTTGCATGATTAATTTCAAGTTAACTGAGATATATCAAGTCGACATATAATCAAAGTACTGAAAGTACTGAAAAGCGGTTAGCGTGCTTTCATCGAATATGTACAGTGTACAATAACAAAAAATGTATTGAATGGTGTTATTAAAGTAAGCATGCATATCTATGTCCAATGTCATCAGCGAAGAGAAGACACACTGAGTTTTGTAGTACTTAACTAAATGGTAAAATCAATAACATCCCAGACTGATGTCACAAATGTATGTTTCAAAATTTTCAGTTTGAAAGACAGGAAGTTTAATTTCAAATATTTCTCCCTAATTGTCTTCCTTGGTGGCGTCCAAAATGCTCAGAACGAAAAAAAAATATGTTGATGTTGCAAATTTAATTTTCTTTCATGCTCTATTGATTCTGAAATTAGGTAACTGTAAAGGCTACTAGAGCAAACAACTAAAACGAAAATAAAATGATAATCTAAATTCTTTAGATTAATTGATTTGGAGTACTGTACATAGATCTTTAGCTGGCTAGTCTGAGAAAAACGGATGGACGAGCAGAGAATTTGTAAATTAATTAAATTCAGAGAGTTTCAGTTTCGTAGGCTCACTGCGGGTCAGCAGGTGTGACCTGTCATTGGGGAAGCTTACTTCTCCTAGGCACCGGAACTTTCAAGGATCCGTTTTTCTTTTCAGACTGATCACTGTTCATTCTGTATTTTGATACAGATACTGAGTACATCTGTTTATCAATATTATGAACTATTTCTCTCACAGGAAGAAAGACAAGTAAACAAGATAATAAAGTTTTTAGAAATGTACATTATTGACTTTTCTTACAATTAAATGTTAGAATAATTAAATGGTATATGACAATTATTTAAAGAAGAGTCTTGCACGATATGTATAAACGAACATAAACTCAGTATTTGGCAAATATTTTTCATGCAATATTGATATAAAAAAAAAAACGTGTGAAAAAGGAAAGTTGTTGTTTAATCCATCAATACTAGTGTTTTAAAAATTCAAACATTCACTAAAAGTCAATGTATAACAAACAATTTAATTGTCCATTGCAAGAATTACCTAGGTATCATTGTCACTTTCTTCAATATGTCGCATAAGCAATACATTGGTTTTTTTTTTTTTAACTAAAAACAAGTATGCGAATTTCTATCAATATGCCTCTAAGCATCTGTAGTTTAATTTTTATTTCTTCTCAAAGGCTCAAAATGATAATTAACAAATTGGACAAATTCAAATTTAAAAAGTATTTTTACAACTTATACCTTGCATAGGAATTTTGCAAACTTTCAAAAATAATCATTTATTAGATATAATTTTCAATTTTGGCTAATTGTCAAGATTTTTCATGCCCCTTTTTTCTGTGCATATTTAATATCGGCTGATTATTAGAAGAGGATCGAACGCCGAATAATTTTTTTTTCAAATTTTTTAAAATTAATTTTACTATTTTCAGGGTCCCATTATTTTTTTTAATAAAAATGTGATCGTTTATAATCGTTTGTAATAATTAGACTGAGTACAAAATTTATCCCTGGAAACAAAACTTTTATCTTTTAAATAATTTCAATTGAGAAAATAAGGAGAAGAAAACAAACGTTTCATTATGGAAGTAATCCTATTGTTTCCATAACTGTACAACTTACAGATGTATTAAGTATTTTTATATAAAGGCTTTCTTCATGTACTAGTATTACTTAAGTTAATTAAAGGGATGCCTTAATATTTTGGCAAGGAAAATCACACTCGATCGAGAGATTCTCCGATGTTTTGCAGTCGGTAATAACCTTCAACCCCTTTAGCCAGTAATTAACCCATCCTCCCTATGCCCAGTAGCATAATTAGGTCAAATATTTATTGTTCATGAGGGGTACCTTATAATTAATCACAGGCACCTGAATTTTTATCAGTAAGTCTATAAATTAGCCAAATATCGAAACATTCTACCCCCTCTATATATAAATACACAAGGTGTGCAACGCCATCTTGACCCCCTGTTCGATTCAGGCTTCAATTTAACATATAAATCGGATATGCCTACTGGTTTTCGTGAAGCATTGGGTTCAAATATATTTTTCTCGCTATACATTTCTTCCTAAAGTTAAAATCCAACGCGTTGATTATGTTATCAGCTAAACTTCATGCTGACTTCGAATTTCGTTACAGGGCCCGATCGCCGTCAGCTGACGTCAAGGAAATTTAATCTCGACACCAAATGCTCCTATACATAAACTTTTTTAATACAACAATTAGAAATTTATTTCATTGACAAACAAAATCAGAAAAAAAAATTAAAAACCGAAAACTTATGTTGTTTGATAGTCTTGATTTTATTTAACATATGTTATAATTATGTTTTAAAAACAAATCATAGGTAGAGGCTTTGTTGAAGTTTCCGTTGTCGATAGGTAGCGCCTTATGGAAGTTTCCTGTGTCAATAAAAATTGCGTAATATCGTTGGACACATGCCATAAAGCGGTTAGCGAATACGCTAACCGCTTAAAAATAGCTATTGTTGATTGATAAATCACACAGATTTGTTAGGGCTTCCCGGAACATTAAATTCCATTCAAAACATATAATAAAACTGGAAGCTTTGTTTTGCATTTCAGTATGTAGACAATGAAGTTAACTACAGACAAAGAGATCTCTTAACTATCACATGGCGCGTTTGAACTGTGACTTAGTTTTTTCTTTCAAAATTTGCACATAAATCGATTTTGCTCGTGGGAATAGCACTAATTTTATCTATATCTTTATCTATAAAATGTAAATGAAATCCTTACATCCGAATGTACATGAAGAGTGCTTGGGACGACCCGTTGTATTTGTAAATGAGCTTTTTCATGAGAGCTCGAACGGGCCAAAAAATTTGAGAGTAATTTCTCTCTTTATTGATTGATTGATTGTAAATTGTTTAACGTCCCTCTCGAGAATTTTTCATTCAATGGAGACGTCACCGATGAAGGACTACAAATTTTGACCTTTTCTCGGCACTCAGGGCCATAGAGCAGTGAGGGATCTTTATTGTGCAAACGCCTGTCGCTGACACGGGGCCTCAGTTTTTAGGGTCTCATCCGTAGAACCGCAACCGAACTTCAACCACTGCTACCCATATTTTATGGACTTAGGTCAGTTGCAGCCGAGATGTGAACTCACGACCTCCCAATCACGGAGCGAGCGCTCTACCGACTGAGCTACCGTTAACGGTCTCTCTTTATTGAAATGCAAAGCGAATATACGTCCATTCCAAGCAAGATTCATTAAAAGAACAATTTTTTCTTATAACTTTTCACATATCTAAAATTATTTTCTTAACCTCTTGCGCCAGCCTCTTTTATTTTGCACACATTTCACCTCTAAATTACGGTCCACTAAACGGGGGCATTTCAATACATATGATTTAAATCAAGATAAATTGTACAAAGTCAAAATATTCAAAAATAAATACACAACCTCTGACTTTAAACTACAGTCAAGTTATGTTGATTTTACAATAACGCTATGGTTGGGAAAAAATTTTTATTACACTTTCCACGCCATATTAACTAAATACAATTTACTTGGCAATTGCGGGTATTAATGTACATTGCACATTTACATGCATGAAGTATGTAAGGATTTTTACAATTCATGTTAATGTCAGTATGATACGTATACCACGAATCATATCGGAAATTGATTTGCATGGGGAAGAGATCTATAAAAGATTGTAATATGTCGCCTAAACGAACATACCACAAATGAAAAAAAAAATTAGAGTGGAAATCTCGAAATAAGCATTTAATAAACAAACAAACAATGAAAGTATCTTTTATTTTTGCAAGCAGAATGTCCCTCGGGCTTTTATGGTACAAACTGTACAGCACAATGCAGCCCTAATTGCCTTAATGGATGCAATCACGTGAAAGGAACTTGTAAAGGCGGATGTAAAATTGGATATAAAAGGGAACTTTGTGACAAAAGTAAAAAAATAAATGCTTTTCTGCTATTTGTCTAATGTCTTATATTTCAATAATGTTTTACTTTTGCTAAACATTTTATATAAAGTTTGTGACAACGGACGCTTCTGGTACAACTGTTCGAAACAATGCAGTCAAAATTGTGCAAGTCAGTCTTGTGAAAAGGAAGTCGGCACATGTATTCATGGCTGCAATCCAGGATGGAAAGAATTGAATTGTTCTGAAGGTATTTTAAGACTTCGATTGCTAAAATTCTAAAAGAAAAAGTAATATATCTTTACTTGAACCTGTAAGGTTCTTTTAACTTTGTTGCTTTTGAACATTTTTGTATGCTATATACAAAGGCAAAAGTGGCTCGCATGATATTCATATGAAATTCGGATGTGGAACTTTTCGCATGGTTTTTATATGATTTTCGCACGAAATTTATGCGAAAAGGCATTCACATGAAAATCGTGCGAGCCACTTTTCCCTGTGTATGTATGCAAACGTTGAACGTCTCCACACTTATATGTGTAGATAATAAGAATATGGTCGTTCATGCAGCCCATATTGAGAACGAGATCTACATTAGTTCTGGATAGCAAACAATCTTTATTGAATAGCCCCGATTATCCTTTTTTTTATCCCTTCTTTTTTTAGTTACTCTTGAGTTGTTCTCTCCATTTCATGGTCTCTATAGCCTACATGGTTGTTTAATACTCAGTTGATCGTTTAAACCCTTTTACCTTCTGATCTTATTGATGAAAAAGTCACTCATATTATTTGTGGATTTCTTTCAATCATATATATATATATATATATATATATATATATATATATATATATATATATATATATATATATATATATATATATATATATATATATATATATATATATATATATACATATATATATCATCTTATCTTAAGTCTATTATACCTTCATAGATTTAAGATCTAACCTTTAATTAGTATTCCTTTGAGACTGCAAGTTATGGAATTATTTGCACCGGAACCAACCTCTCATGTTTTGAAGGTCTGTGTTTGATCTGCTCCTATTTGCAATATTTTTGAGCATGAATACTGTTCCTTATCTCCATATATTTCATTAAACATGTAGGAATATTCTGATTTTTTCACATTTTGAAAAAAAAGAGTATTTGGGTACACACCTTCATAATACTAATAGTAAATCGTATTAAACTCAGTTTAATAAATTAAAACGGCTTCTTTATTTTGAAATTTCTTTATTTAAACACCGGTGCAGATCAGAGATTACAAGTAACATAAACAAAATACTCTTTATCCTTATTATCCCATACAAAGATAGATTTATATTTTCAGCGTGTCCACCAGGAACGTATGGAAATAAGTGTCAACAGCATTGTAGTGGTCACTGTGCCAATGATGAGACGTGTAATCACGTGACCGGGTTCTGTGAAAATGGGTGTGTAGATGGATATAATGGGTCATTATGTGATTCAAGTAAGTTTTATGTCACGCAACATAAATTGTTTGTTTTATACCAGTATAAAATATGCTAAACAAACGATTTCATGTTACATGTTTCACGATAAACTATGTTTGTAGCGAAAAAATCAAAGACCTTGGTCTATGGATCATGAAAAATATCTTAGACTTTAATCATTTTTATGTTGTATTAAAATGTTGTAAAAATCAAGTACACGTACGGCTTGATCAAAATAACTTTCAACAATTGTTTTCATAGTTATGCTCATTAAAGATGTACATAACATAAATACACAAACATGTTTGCACGTCCTCCAAAATGTCATGTAAGGAATACTTTAATGTGCAAATATTGAATGGAAAAAAACTCAATCACAAGTATTTCAAGTATTTGAAGATAGAAAATTATATATATAATTTTTTAGGGATGTCAACGAATATTCAAATATTCATTCGATGAGTTGATATTCGAATATAAATTTATGATTCAAATATTGGTTTTTTAAGTATATATGCATTTAAAACGGACAAAAATCTGTCAAATTTCAAAAAGGTCTCTTTTGTCTTGCAACTAGACAAATAGAATCGAGCATATGATTTAAAACAAAATTAGAATACATTCAACTTGGATTTTTTTAAGGTGTGAAGAGTGTTTCTTTTAGAATAATTCGTTTGATAATTAAATTAATGGTATAACAGTGTCCCGTAATTACAATTACTTTTTATTGTGGTATGGACGCAGTTTTACACATACACATGGATCCGTTATGTTTTTTGATCAAAAATCATTATCAGGAAATTAATCAACTAAAAATAATTGCTTTTAACTTGTTTTAAGTTATTTGTTTTTATTTCAAAACAATAGATCAAGATAATTTTGTCCAGTAAGTAATTGTTATGCGTAGTATAAATTTGTACAAGTTATCAGTGAAGTTTTGAATTTTCACAATAATTTTTGTTTAATTATGTTTTAGATGCTTACCCTTGATATAATCCATAGAATATTTTGAAATATAATTATAAAGACACTTTAATAACTGTACATTTACAAAACTCTACAAAAATATCATTTCATAATAATGGTATATGATAAAAAATATACTGGTCAACAGGAGAGTGAAGATATATATATATATATATATTAGAATTCAAAACGTATTTATTTCATTTCGAATATTGAATTAGAGTATATGTATATTTGAATATCAATTATTGACAATTTTGACATACCTACATTTTATACAAACTGCCTTAGTTTATTTTGAATTCAATATTATGGTTTCTCCTCGTTTTAGAATGTTCTCCGGGGTTTTATGGTAAAAACTGTCATTGTAAGTGCACAGGACACTGTTTCGAAAATACAACCTGTGATTCAGTAACGGGATATTGTCTGCAAGGATGTATGGAAGAATACAGTGGGTCGAGATGTGATATACTCAGTATGTATATTATAAAAAGGTATCCCCAGAATAAACGAACAATAATCAATCGAATAATAATTATGTTTCTCAGTGTTGTTATTATATCGTCTGAGTCCGTAGATTTTTAGGATATTATAAGATTTTCTGTGGACCTGTCCCACTAACTTTAGTCATGTATTGTGCAAAGCATTTTTAGCGAAGGGGAGCACTAGCGGTTTTTTTTAACTTTGCTTTGTGCCACTTACTTAGACTCTGATAATGTATTTGTGTAACTTAATTTATTGATGATTAAATCGAACAAAAGAATTTCAATTTGTTGATCCTTAATCGTACTATTTTTTGTTTGGGAGCGAACTATATCCTATTATCAAGTGATTATGTTGAATATTGCAACTATTCAATTCATGCATCCTTTGAATAGCTGTATTAAACCAAGGTGACCGTTAAAGCAATCTTGGCCTCTTGTTCATTCCCGCTTTTCATTGCAGCACAGATGACTTATATAGCATACTTACATAATTGGATATATGGATTATCAGGCAGTACAGCTGGACTTGCTTTGTTATTTGTATGCTGTGTAATAATATTTTGCAGGTAGAGTTTTCATTTTCGTTGATATAGTTTTTCTTATCTTTTTGTGACAATATTTTGTTTCCTAGACAAAAATTCATCCTACAAAAAGAAAAAAAGTTTTCCCCCTTTTTTATTGAAAGGTGTGTTAAATGCGAGGATTGTCTTTTCATTACATAAATTTATGGAAAAAATACAATTACTCAACATTTATTTGATTTGTAGACAGAAAAATAAAACGAAGAAGAGCAAAGCCAAACAAAACGCTGCTCGTTATGTGCAGAAAGAAGTAAAGTTGACACCTTCAGATGTGACAAAAACATATCGCCAAGCTCCACATGTTTATCTAGAGCTTGAATAATCTTATATTCAAAATATCTTTATTTAGCATTGTAGTATTCGTAAAAGCTTTGGAAATAAATACTTATATTATGTACCCAACTAGTGAAAGCTAAATGAAAACCATTTTCTAATTGATTTGTTTAAATATATTTCTTCCATAATGAAAATTGTATGAAAAAAACGCTATTTAACAGTGAAGTTTACATTGATTATTTGTTGTTAAGCTTAAGATTATAAAAACGGCAAAATTGAAATCTTTTTCTATATACATGTAACATTGTACTAAAAATGAAACGATTCAAATATTCTTTTAAAAACAATGATCGGCATATTGCATGAAATTATAAAGTCTGCATTATAAAATGTCCTGACTTAAGTTTACATTTATTTGAATAAACTTATATTTGTTTAGTATGATATGTAAATATAAATATCTGGCTCTTTTTTAATCATGAGTAAAAATTCTCAAAATGCACGGACCTTTAATTTCAAGCAAACAAAATCATTATGACAGAAATACTCAAAATACTTCTAATACTGATCTTTGAAAATTTAGCGTTTCTGTAAAATAGATAATTACTGCTGAAAATCCACGATGTTGTAAAGATTCAAGAGAATAGAATAAATGTACAAATGCGTCGCACTTTCTTAATTTGATCTGATCCGAATGTATATGAACAAATAAAGTTCTTCCTCTACAGAAATGCACTATCAGATGAAATTGTAACAGAGCAATCGCCCAAGTTCATTAATTGTTAATAAATGAGAGAACAAGAAGGTCTGATAAGGTTGCAGGTGCACGACGCTGGCGTTGTACCCGTGTTTCCCAAGAGTGTCATTTTAGCTACATTTAGTTAGAGAGAAAGAGAGTGAGCAAACATGGAATTATAACTTGTTGTAGACCATTTCTGCTGTCGTTTATTTATAGTGCTTGATAGAGTTCTAAGAGATTAACATTAGGTTGAATTTTGTAAGAAACTGGGAGAATAAGTTTGAAAGTCAGTGAGAGTGGATGTGCCTTTTAGTTGTGAACTTTGTGTATTATTATAAATATATTTATGTATTCTTATGCTTATAGGCAAGCTCACCGCAGCTTGTTTTTGCTAATTTTATATAAGTCAAATAAAACACTTTCATAGAGATGAATAGTGTCATTTATTAAAATGGCGGTATAAATGTGAACAATTTAAAAAACAAGAAGAGGATCAGATTCACAATCTTTGATTAGCAGTTACGTAAAATATGATGTCTGATCCCACAAAACTGATTAGAAAAAAGTATCTGTAAGACAAGACAATCAAAACATCATATGAAAAAGTTAGCAAAAAGATGGCACATCAAAACAAAATAGGCCAAGGATAGTAGTGAAACAAAATACATGTACATAAAAACAGTTTAAACAAATTGAGTCAAAACAAATCAAATATATGATTTTACATGACACATTAATAACCATTTTAAGGGGTAGGAGTGCAGGGGTGGAGGAGGGTCTTCAAAACAAACGTGCCTGATGTTAGCGTGGTCAGCATGCGGGTTATCACAATACAACTGAATGACTCGCTGAGCTGACCACGTGACCTTACACCTTCTCTTACATGTAATCCATCAACCAAGGCGTGGATCTAAGAATTTTCACAATTTGCTAAAATTAATCCTCCCGGAAATCTCCAACTAAGTTATCGCATTCAATACATAAATACAATTATTATTCTAAAATTTGTTGTTTTATGTATTCCTATGCTTATAGGCAAGCTCACCGCAGCTTGTTTTTGCTAATTTTGTATAAGTCAAATAAAACACTTTCATAGAGATGAATAATGTCTTTTATTAAAATGACGGTATAAATGTGAACAATTTAACAAACAAGAAGGGGATCATATTCACAAGCTTTGATTAGCAGTTACGTAAAATACGATAATGTCTGATCCCCCAAAACTGACTGGAAAAAAGTAACTGTAAGACAAGACAATCAAAACATCATATGAAAAAGTTAGCAAAAAGATGGCACATCAAAACAAAATAGGCCACAAGATGTGACATGCATGTCACATCCATGTTAGATGTGACATACAGATCACATCCATGCCATCCAGTAATATATTGCGGTGTTGTAAATATGTAAATAAACTATGTAAAACTACGAGGGTTGTCCAAGAAGTCGAAGACAGAGAAAACAGTTTAGTTTCTCTTTCCTTAATCAAATTTATTTTCTTGTCATAGTAAAAAGTAAAATTCTATGATCCTGCATTTCATGTTTAATTATGATATCACATTTAATAAGAAACTTATGAAAAAATAAAGAAAATATGAACGAGTACATCGGAACACGAAAGCAAGCATAATTTTCTACTTTCCTTTTCTTGCAGATTCAAATTTTAGTCGAAATTTAGTCGGAAGATCATCTTACATTGTGGACAACAGAGAATACACATTGTTTGACGTCATTCGTAGCCCAGAAAGTTCCTCACTCTCTGCATTTAACAAACTGCACTCTGCATCTTACATGCCGTAACTACTTTCGGTATAGAGGAAAATCTATCATTGAATCTCATACCATTTAAAAACAACTTCTCTATTAGAATCTAATGCGTTAAGGCACTTCTGTACTCTTTTTCCGTTTCTGATGTATAGAAACCATATCCAAAACAATTTATTACATCCCCGTGCGCTAGTTACGCGTTTGACGACGTCATTTTCATCAAACTCAATTACAACAACACTTTAAAAATCATTATACTAATCGTCTGATTCTGATGCTATTTACATGAGAATTTGATATGTTATTAAAATCTTATTTCTGGTTTCACTGATTTAAATTTGAATTCATTATTATATATAGTAGCAAAGAAATAAAAGCAAATGTAATAGGTATACGCGTAAATTATTCCGAATTTGTTCGTGTGCCGACAGACCTTATCAGCCTTCATACAGTACCGACCAGACCCAACCTGACACAAAGCAGTCCCGGAGCAGTAAGGGACTGCTTCTGGACTGCTAAAGCAGTCCCACAGCAGTCCCAGAGCAGCAGTCCCACAGCAGTCCCAGAGCGGTCCCAGCAGTCCCAGCGGTCCCAGAGAGCAGTCCTAGCAGTCCCAGAGGGCGGGGTTTATTTATTTAATGGGCGGAGCTAACTCAGAAATGAGATTCCCAATAAACAATGGAACTATAAAAGGCTGTAGAATTTGATTCTGGGTAGTATGCCTGGAATCCTTACATGTGTGCGAAGGTGATTTATGAACAGTACGCGCATTGAAACAAAATTGAAATAATACTAATTGAATGAAGAAGGCTTTCACACGTACATGTATGAAATTAAACTGAACATGAATATTACACCAGAGCAGTCCTAAATAAAAATTAATTAAAATTTATTATTTATTAATTAAAATAAATCACAATTATCTGGTATATTAATAATTCGGTTTCTTTTTTTTCTGCAATTGATACCGTTTCCCATATTTATTTTTTATACAGAAAATTAAACGTGAATTAATTATTTTACACCAGAATAAGCTTTAGATAGATCTTATCGTTATATGGCCAATTTCCATACTATCGGGATACTCTTATAAATTTTCTTAAGTATTCGGGCTTTTCAAAAAAAAATTCTTTGTTGATTTTGCCAAGTATTAATTTTCAGGCATGATTATTTTTACTGACATGTCAATTGAATCATTTTAAATTTCTCTGTCTCTATAATATTGTGCTTTAAGTTTTAAGTGCCTCTTTTGTTAATGTTAGAGTGTATATCTGTAAATCACACGAATGGAAGCCTTAGATTATGTTCAAAATTAATTAATCGTGAAAGAAATTCATACACATTTCATTTATCAATTTTATTTTTGCTTTACATAGATTGAAATTAGGATCATTGTTGACCAGCATGTTCAATGATGTGAAACGCTGATATGTATACCCAAATAACATACACTGATTTTCTGCCCAAAAGCGATTGAAACCGCGAGTGTTGATACCATTCTTATACACATTAATCGGCGGTGTAAACAGGAGCAATACAAAAAAGAATTAAATCACAATTCCCGGTATTTTCAACTGTTTATTTTTTAAATTGATATACTTTTTAATAACTTGTTTATAAATCAAAAACTACCGGTAATTCATTAATAATTTCCCCAGTGATTTTCCACATTGTTTATGTTACGGAAGAATTAATGGAAGCATTAATTAATTTAATTTATTAATTTTATTTTATGGTCTTTTAATAAAGTGTGATATTTTATATTTGAGGGTTAAAAACATGTACCTTTTTTAATTAAAAATCATTTATCAAACTATAATAATTATTTTTAAATAGTACAATGGCAAAATTTTAGGTTTTTATTTTTACATTAAATACCCCCATAATAAAAAGGCCTACATGTGGATATTTTTTTTCTCATAAATCTTATCTTATATTTAGGGAAAAAATTATTCTTCTCCTGACTTCCTTATTTAACAAGTTTATTCTAAACTACATTTGTGTAAATATACAGTCTAAGTAAATATTTATATATAATAATCTCTACTTATTAAAAGATTGTAAGAAATCCTTGCTTTTTAAACAGTTTAATTTCATCTCTGCTGCAAGTAAACAAAACAACAGGGGGCCTGCAAATTCAGAATACACAAAGGGGCGGAGCTATCATGTCACTCAGAACCTTTTTTCACACATGAGTGAACAAAGCAGTCCCAGAAAGCAGTCCCAGGGACAGTGGGACTGCTACACTGCTGGGTCTGAAGCAGTCCCAGAGCAGTCCCACAGCGGTCCCAGAGCAGTAGAGAAAGAAAAATAGTGCTTTCAGAGCGTCCCAAAGCAAGATTGCTTTCTTATATGGGTGTCAGGTTATTCTTGTATAGTGAAGCAATATTATTAAAATGAAAGATATTTAAGAATTCACCATTTTAAAGAACATTGAATACCGTATGTGGCAACGCACTTTGAAAAAATTACGCACTTTGAAAAAATTTTTCAAAATAAACATTTACCAGGTTAACGCACTTTGAAAAAAAATTTTTTTTTTCAACAATCACATTAACGCAGAGTGAAAAAAAAAATGGCTTAGTCAATATTGAACAAATCTTATTC